GAGTCACCCTCTAACTCGAAACATTCCTCATGGAACCAGGATGAACAACAGCCACAACATTGCACCCATTCCTGTCCGTGATTTTCATCATAATTGCTTCATGAAAAGAAAATATCATAACATTTTCGTACTGCCCATATTACCCTTAATCTTACTGACCATATTAGCTCTAGTGATCTTATTCAATAGTTGGAATTATTGCTGTCGAAAGCAGAAAAAACGACACCACCCGCTACTGCCAACAGATATTACACTCACATTGATTTCAGCCATTTATAGGTTTCATGTAAAATTAATTAATTTTGCGTATTAAACCTTAAGGAAGATAACTAAGATATAACAAAACCCCTAAAATTTGAAATATCAGTTAGTTGTACTTACGTTAGAAATGGTCCGTTTGCACTTCTGTTTGAATCGTACAACGACACAAACTAATCACATAGTCGCCATGACACTTGAGCATTGCCAACGCCGCAATGCGAATTCACCATCTCAAAACCATTACGTGTAATATGAGCATTTGTTTAAATGGGCCCGTATTACCTTAGTGCCCATATTAGCCCATATTAGCCAAGCTCTATATGTTTTACAGTATAGTTTTTTTTCTAATTTTGGAATGTTATAATGCAGTTCTTAAAGTATCACTTACTTTATACTGTAGATACGTTAGTTTATTTCGAAGCAGGAGAGATGAAAAATGAGCAATGACCTCGTCGGGACTCGTACCATGGACCTCTTGAATACGCGTCGAGCGTGCTGACCACTACACCACGAAGGCATGTTAAGAAGGCGGGATAAATATCTTATATACTCGCCCTTTTAAAGGGCGACTGAGGAATAGGGGACCCAATCGCCAAATCCTAGTGGTGGAGAATCATCATCCACCGCCTTTTTTGTTTGGGCGCCACTGTAGGAGCATTAGGAAATTTCGAAGCAGGAGAGAGGAAAAATGAGCAATGCTCTCGCTGAGACTCGAATACGCACCGAGTGTGCTGACCATTACACCGCGAAGGCATGCTAAGAAGGCGGGAGAAATACCTTATAATACAGCGGTAACTGTCGAACACCCCTTAACCACTGATGAAATAGAAAATACACCACATAGTTAAAGGTTAAATCGCAATCTGATAAAAATTTCTTTTAAAAAAGTGCGGTGCCTTGAATTTGAATAAAATTAGGAACTGAAAGCGAAATAAAATGAGAATCAAGCCATAATTTGAACAGAATATTACATCATTTATAATGTTATAAGGTAAATTGTAAAAATGAATGTTAGAATGCTGTACATTTTTGTTTTTTGTTGTACTGTATCGAAATATGTAATTATCATGAAAACAATTTTTTTATTTATGGTATACTGTGAGTTTGAAAACGTTAGTTTAATTTAGTCCACTATTATCAACAAAATTAGATCATTTCATAAAGTTCTCAAAATTTCCATTTACCTAAATACAACAGATTTGCTAACCTGTATGTTCTACCTATGCTCCATAAAAAACCGATTAAATTCAGACTCATAGCGAATGGACCAAATAATAAATAAGGAAAATATTTATTATTTTTTGGCACTACAACTTAAAAAACAATTATACTTTAATTTTCACTTCCTGAAACACAGAACATAACTTTTGCTAAAATCTCTATGCTCGAAAATCTCTCATTGGGATATTATATCTAAATGTCGAGTATTATCTGAAAAATTTATTTTAGATAACAAAGATAAGATAAATTGGGACACAATTTCAGAATATCAGACTTTAAGTAATTTTATTTTACAAAATTTTAGGAAAATTAAATATGAAACTAGTTTCTCGACAACAAAAATTAGCAAAAAATACTATTGAAGAATTGAAAGATGTATATTAGAATGAAATAATTAAATACCAAGATTTAAGTTAAAACTTTTTAATAAGCCTGTGTCAACCTAACATGACTAAACTAACTTTAAATCAGTTATCCTACGCAAGTGTATCTTATTTTCTTAGCTCAACAATGGCTATAATCCGAGTTGAATATCATCTGCTGGAAGACTTGAGCGCTAACTATCATATCTATTATAGTTATTCTGTTCATAAGAATCAATCAGTATATAAAACGTAATCCGTATTTATAAAATTTTCCTATAAACAACAAAATTACTTTTAATACAGCTATTACTTTTCTTCAACGATTTTCTAGATGAAGGTCCAGATCACTTGTTTATCATACTAAACAGCTTAGTTTTAAGTTAAACTTTGGTAGGTAGTATAGAAAATGTTGTTTAAATTCGTTAAAGCATTGAAATGAAGAAAAACGTAATGTGTAAAATAAAAAATATGAAAGCAAACGTCTAATTTTAATTTGATATAACCTCTTTAATTTTTTTAGGTAGTATAGAAAAATAGTTTACGGTGAACAGCTAATAAACTTAAATATGCGTTCAACATAAAATCTGTTCAGTTAAATATGAATGTAATAAAAACGAACTTAGAAGCAGGAAACTCTAATGTCGTAGATGTGTTCATCCATAATGAATAGGAAATTGGAGGCGAAGGCAGATTAAATACTCATTTTTTATTTCAACAAACATGTTGCGATGCTTTTAAAAGTCCGTAATTTAATTCCGTAACCGATGTTGAATCTAGCAGAGATCATCCCGCGGAAGGTCGAGTGTAGGCTGCGCTATTTTATGTGATAACACTGATCCATTATTGTGATAAAACTTCTGTTCGATGATACGACATGAATGATTTGATTATGAATGCGGCAAAAACTTGCATTAAAATTTTCAGTAAAACTGGACTTTTCCAATGATTCACCGAAGAACGGAGGAACATACAGACTGCAGTCCAGCTAAGTCACAGCTTAGAAAGCAAGTTCCTTATGTTCAGGGTGAAATCTTAATTCAGCCTGAGTTAGTTTTGGTTCTCAATGCATTTTGATTGGATAGTTAATACTGCTGTAAAATTACTATTGGCTGCTTCAGTTTTAGTTCCATTTACATAATCAGAATTATGCAAGAGTCATATGACATGGATTAATTTAGAAATGACGCAGTGCTGAGAGAGGTTACTGTTTTTAGAATTGAGAAGGGAAATTTATGCTGCTAATTTAATCTTTGACATATTCTTTATTTTTCTTACATATCCTCCCTTTCAAGGACAAAAAGGCGTAGCAACAGAGAAGCCTTTTTAAAGAAAAAGCGTTAAAGCATTGGAAATGAAGAAAAACGTAATGTATAAAATAAAAAATATGAAAGCAAACGTCTAATTTTAATTTGATATAACCTCTTTCATTTTTTATTTAATTTAAGGACTTCATCTTTATGTCTTATAAATAGCGCCATAAATCTAAACTACATCATTCACACTAATCATGCGATCTTACATAAACCTTAAAGTAGATATCTCTTGCCCAATCAAAGTAATTTGTAAACCAAAACTTAAAACTTAAACTTTGACTCCCTCCATTCTTTCTTTGAACTGATGCGTCACTTTACTCTTCCACTTCTCTTTGTGCACTGCTTGGACGTAATTTTGCTATGCTTGCTTGCTAATGCAACAGTTACCAAAAATGTAAATTTTCTTTAATAGGCATGTGTAGAGTGCTAAGCGACTGTGGTCACAAAATGTGAATTTAAATTAAATTGATTTAATCCGTCTCGACTGCTTCTTCTTCAAAATGGATGGACGCTCTAAGCATCAAGTATCTAACACCATCAGTTCTTCTGCACATCTGCACCTCAGTTTTCTTACATTCAGTGCTTCCAAAATTGTTCTGTCATTACATTTTTCGGCCAGTTCTAATTATGAAGAAATCTACATGGGTTTGTTATTCTATGTTCACAGTATATCATGGAAAATGTCCTATTTCACCGAAAATTTTAATGCAAGTTTTTGCCGCATTCATAATCAAATCATTCATGTCGTGTCATCGAGCCGCAGTTTTATTTCATGAATGCATTTTAGAGTACACATTTGAAACTGTCTAGAGTTGTGTTTTATTGACTATTAGATAGCAGATATTATCAAAAGATTTGTTGAATAAATCTTTTAAGTTGCTTATGTGAGTATAATATTAATATCTTACTTAAGGAACTGTAGTCGTTCCTCAACTTTAATATTTTATGTGCCATATTTTAAAGTACCTACCCATATAACTGTAGCATATGGAATAATTTCTTTGTAAGTTTTGGATTCAATTAGAATCTAGTGCTCTTCTGATTATTCTTGATAATGAGATTAATAAACAAACTAAAATATCTAATATCTTAGAATGGTATTTGTAAGAAAGCTATCCACGACAGAATTAGATATTTTCCCAATGAAGAGTTAATTTAGTATAAAATACTTAATATCCAAGAAGATAATTATGCTAATCTCAAAATGAAAGAGGAACTTCTAATTAGTAAATCTGCATAATTTTCCTAATTCTTTCTTATTTTACCTGCACTTACATTTTTTTTAAAAACCTCAAAACAAAATTCTGTAAGGAAGCCTTAAAATTGCTGAAAACGTTTTTAATACTTAAAATATATCACAAACGTATTTTTTGATATTCTGTAAAGAAATTCCTTTAAAATTTCGTTTGAAATTTTCATTCACAAATGAGTTATTTTGTAAAAGATTCAGATTATTTACAAATAATTCATCATTTATTAAAATTGCATTTAAATTAATCATTTATGATTTTTAGTCATAAACATTCCAGTATTATAGTGCACGCTTATGAAAGATAAGTTGTAAAACAGATACATAACAAATCATATAAAGCATTCTTGATGTTTTTTTAATCTAATTGGACATATTTATTATTATTTTACAGATCAAATGCGTTTGTTGTTTACCTCAACATCAGTCAGCGAAAAAGCTCATACTTCATAAAATTCCATTTATATTCCTAAAGTAGTCTCACCTACCGCACGTTATACTACATTTGTGCTTCCAAATTTAAAGCAATTATTTCTCTTTCAAAAGAAGTTTCTGTTTGTGCTTTTCAATAATTTCCTTTTCTCATTACAGCAGTATTCAAAACGATCTACGATGCTGCTGAATCGACTGATGCATGCTTTAAATAAATCATTTCATTATGAAAATTTGAGTATACCACAGATGGATTTACAGAGAAGAGGAGAAGGGAAGATGTACTGGAAGTGCTACTTCAATGCTGTATCCTGTTTCCGAAGGAAATGAAGGATCTTGGAAATTTAAGTAAAATGTAAGTAGCTCCGAGCATTATGCAAATCATGTTAAGAAATGTGAAAAAAAGTTCGTCTTTGATGACGCTAATATATAATGGAGCTAATGAGATAAGAAATTCAACTAATAAAAGCCATCAATTTGAATAATTATTTTTATCACAATGTGTGGATTTTTCCCCTATACATCCCCAGAAATGTCTTGAAGAAATATATGTTTACTGGCACAATAACATACATGCTAACGTTAGATCATTATTCAGATCTTTTTATTCGCTGGAAAAGCCAATCTTTTCTTTTATTATCATTTAAATTAGTTTATTCTTTTAGATGTATCAAAATTTCTCAATTTTTTAATAATTATAAACTTAAAAAATACTGCACATTCATTTGGAAAAGGTCAATGAATCAGGGATTTTACAAATCATTTGAGAGGCGAAAATTTCACGCAAAAAAATGCAAAAATGATATTTTCTACACAAAGTTTTATTCCGTATATAATCTTCAAGAGAATGATAGCTGGCATAACTCACCTTTCGTTAATTACGTTTACCAATTACGTTTTACCATTACATTTCAGTTTTTTAAGTAATCATTATTTACATGCGTGGAACTTACAAGATCAGAGTTTGTGAAACTTGTCAGTATTAATGTACAAATTTTAAAGATTAAAACTGATAACAGTTCCAACGGTAACATATTAATGCTATGCCGGGTATTGAAATTCTGTTAAAATAGCATCTTCATATTTGCTCTTGCGAAATTTAAATTTTATTTAATTATTTATATGCTATATAACTCTCAATATATATATATAAAACAAGTCACACTTACTAAGCGCTTTACTTGATAGTATAGTAAGAATTTATCATAAACTAATAGCTTTCCGGAGTAGTAAACAAAAACAACTGATAATAAAATAATAATAAATAAAAGCATAAAAAATTCTCGAAAATTAAAACACAATAGAAGATAAGGAATGTACAATAGAGTATTGTTCTTAAGAATCAGCCTATTGGGTAAGAAATATGAATGCCAAAAGTGCACTTAACTGGAATAAGGTTGTAATCCTCCATAATCTCAAAGACATCGTTCATCTAAAATAAATAAGTAAATAAATAAATAACAAAATGACTGCCATTGAGATACTCATTGAGATACAGAGAACCACTGATAACCCACAGAAAGTTCTTTCTCTCCACTTCTATTTACCAGGATTATTATCTTACTATACGTAAACAACAACAAACTCTCATAACAGCTCCTGTTACTGAAAGCAACTGCTGTGTTTTGTAACGATTGCTGCCAGTAAGTGGGTTTGAATCCACGCTTCTAAACACTCTGTTATCTCACTCCGGATTTGGCAGGAGGAAACAGGTGCTGACTACCAAAGTGGGCGAAAGCCAATAGGCTAAAAACAAGGTAAAGCACGTCAGCCGAGCAAAATGCCCTCAAAAAAAAAAAAAAAAAAAAAAAAAAAAAAAAAGCCAAGCGGCTAAAAGAGGAGGGAGTGCTTTTCGGCTAAAATGGGAAGAAGAAAAAAGCTTAAGAAGGGGAAAGCCATTACGGCTAAAAAAGAAGGGGAACAGGCGAAGCGAAATGAAGCAAAGCCTATCGACTAAAAGGGGCTGAGAGGAAAGGCTAAACGGCGAAAGGGAAAGAGAAAGCTTTTGGTAAACTTACAACAAAAAAGGGGGGAGTCATGACAGCTAAAACAAGAAGTCAAGGGACGGCCAGTGAAGTTACAATGCTAGCATAATTTAGAAAAAAAAACAAGAAAAAAAACTTTTTACATAAATGAACAATTAATTAAAGCAGAGTAAAATTAAAATAAGCATATATACAAACAAAATAATAGCCATAACAAATAAAAATAATAATCATAATCATAACAAATAAATAATAATAACAACAAAAATAAATAATAATAATAATAATAATAAATAAATAACAATAATAACAAAATAATAGAAAAATTCAAATAAACTTATAAACAGATATACAATTTGCTGCAGGTGTAAGTAAACATTACAGTGACTAAATAACTGAGCATTACATTGAAGAGAATGGAAGGGAAAATAACAATCAGAATGACATAAACATCCTAGGATTAGCGATAAACAATAAAGTCTGAGTCGTTTACATGTTTAAGTTGCATAATTAACTTCATGGCATTAAGAGTAGAATTGCATTTTGCCAATGTTCCCAGTGAAGGCAATGGTGATGGGAAAAGAGATGTTCTTTCTTTTACTGTTATTGGACAAGACGTGATGTAATGGAGAGCTCCTGTAAGCTCTCCACTTGTCCCACAGCCACAGCTTGTGTTCTTTTTATGAATTGAATATATTGCGGAAATTTACCATGATTTGTCAAGACTTGATTTAAAATGTGATCTGATTGTATATGAGAGAGAGAAATTTGTGGGCATAAGTCGAACGTCCTGTAGATTCCTCATCCCATCTTTGCTGCCATGCTTTAAGCGATTTTTGCAGGATTTGATGTTTGGCCGAAATCTCTGCTAGTAGCACTTCAACTTCTATCTGATCTTGTTGTGTTGCTCTTTTTGCTTCGAAATATGCTCTTTCGTTCCCTGCGATTCCAATGTGAGCTTTAATCCAATTAAGCTCTGGACAATGGGAATCCAAAAGTGTTTTATGATTTCTGTTAGGATAAGAATGCTTCTTTTCGTAATTTTATCACTATTTAAACTTTGAAGGGAACTACGACTATCTGTAAAAATACGAATAGGAATGTTGTCAGTTATTGTGGAACCTATCCAGATGAGTGCTTTTTTTAAAGCAAGAATCTCTGCTAGGAACACGGAAGCCGTATTATTTAATCTATAAATTTCTGAATGAACTTCGTGCCCATTGTTGTACATAACGAAAACCGCACCTACATGTTTACCAAACTTAGATCCACCTGTAAAGATTTCGATATCTTCCTGTGTTGGAGTATTTTTATGCTAGGGAATTATGTCTTGATGAGCAGGGTGTGTGTGGAAGTGCGGGACTCTTTGTTCCAAGGTATTGTACCATATAACAATATTGCTTATTTCCAAGTTTTTCTTATAATGAATTAGTCTAAAGAATTTTCTTTCCATCTCAGCTTTTATGTCTAAAGGCATAAGGCCCGAGAGAACTTGCAGGGCTGATGTGGAAGATGTTGAATAACACTTGGTAATACATAAAAGAACTGACCTTTGTATTTGTAAAAGTTTTTGCTTTTGACGTAATATACGTAAAAACTTACTCACTTTCTGTGGTTATTTTTAGACTGTAAAAAATTGCGTATTATATTCCAAGTAGTACCTTGGAATCATAAGGTAGAGCAGTTTAAATAAAACCGAAAAATTTCTTTAAGTAATAATAGTTAATTCAAATAAAAATAATACTAAAAGAAGAATTCATACGAATCATATCAGGTGAAACCTTTTAAAATCTTAATCATACTACAATGCTGAGAATTAGTTTAAACACATTTTGCAGTATAAAATTTAATTATCTCATTTTATATAAAGAGATTTAATTGATTTCTTGAATTTCTCGATTTCATCATTTTCAAGTGCAAATGATTTCAAAAAGTTATTTTTTCGAGGCATTTGACTTCAAACGATAAATTTATTCTGCCATAAATTTTGAGTATTTTGTGCCATATATATCAGTTTCAAAATCTTGTAATATTAATCTGACTGCTTAAATTTAAAGAGTAATTCTATTTTTTTAAGAATTGCATTGGCTTTCTGAAAATCAATAGATTTTGACAGTTTTCTTGAAGTTAAAGAAAGTAACTAGATAAAAATACCGAAATCTATTGATTTCGATAGTTTTCGATAGTTAATAATGAGGCACAGTTATAAATATGATAAATATCTACTACAAATGCGTCTCGATATATTCTTCGGTGTTTTGTATATGAACAAGAAACATTGCTGTCTGAGTCTTATTAGTTATGAGTTTGAGGGAGGTTAAAAAAGAGTTTAATTGATATAATTTACACAATGAAAGGAAATTTATATGTTCAGTGTTCTAAGGAACAGAACAAGAAGTTGAAATAGCTTAATTCAGTATCAGCAGGTTAAAAATTTTAAAAAAATGTCTAATTATTATCAGACGTGATAATAGTTTAGAAATATATTGAGAAAATATTGTTTAATTTAATTTCAAACTAAAAAAATAGGAATAAGTAAAAGAAGGTTTTGGAATAATTATAATAGTATTATAATATTAAAAGAACTAGATTTCCCAGTGCCTTACAGAACTGCTTAACTTCAGATTAATGAGGGAAAAAATACTTAAAAATGAATTTGAAAGGCTGTCCTATCTTATAACAAAATTTCTGCAGTTCTTTGTAATGATGATTAAAATTTTAAAAATATACAGTGTTGTTAAATATAAGTTTGATCATTCAATAGTTTTCACATGTAATTTAAAAATATATTTAATAATATTTGCAGTTTAATTTAGAATGATTGCTTTTTCAGCTTCGATTCTTTAAGATTTAATACATGGGTCTATGTTTTCACGCATGTCCGAAGCTCTTGAGAAAGTAAATAGATTCCTAAATGTTGAAGTATCGATGAATTAAAATCCCCTTACAAATTATTATTATTATTTTATCCCCCTTACAAATGCGAAGTTTTTGAGGGTAAACAAAACTTTTAATTGGTTCAGGTTATAAGGTACTTCTCCCGCCTTTTTGACATGTCTTCGTGGTCTGCATGCTGAGCGGGTATTCCAGAGGTCCGTGGGTCGATTCCCGGTAAGGGCGTTGCTAATTTTTCATCTTGCCTGCTTCCAAAAATACCTAACGTCTCTACAGCGGCGCCCGAACTAAAAGGTTGGTGGATGATGATTCTCCACACCCAGGATTTGATGATTGGGTCCCCTAAAAAACCCCACTCGCCCTCTAAAAGGGGGAGTATATAAGGTGTTTCTCCCGCTTCTTCGCATGCCTTCATGGTGTGGTGGTCTGCACGCTGGATGCACATTCCAGAGGTTCACGGTTCGATTCCCGGCGAAGGCGTTGTTAATTTTTCATCTTGCCTGCTTCCAAAAACAAAAACCCAATGACTCTACAGGAGCTCCCGAACTAAAAGGGTGATGGATGATGATTCTCACCCAGGAATTGGCGACTGGGTCCTCTAAAAACCCCAGTCGCCCTTTAAAAGGGGGAGTATATAAGGGGGAATATATATCAAAACGACTAATGACTCTACAATATATTTGTAAGAGATTTGTAATTGATCTTTGTAATAGATTGTAATAGAGATTTAATTCAGCATCCAAGGAAAACGCATCGTCTCTAATTAGTAATCACAATACTCAGTTTCTATTAAAGTAATTCCGATTTGAATAAATTTAATTCATTCAAATAAATTTCCGAAGATTCTTAAACTCACGCAGCAACTAAGATTTAATTCGTTTAAATCTCTGAGTGGCAAGTACCAAAAGAAGAAGACAGCTCGTTAACCAAGGTTGTAATTAAGCTCACTTTAACCAGTTGTATTCATGCCTTTTTTTATTTCCTTTTATTTGTCTTTCATTTGCAAACACTCGAGTGACGGAATGACCAGTGCTGTAGAATATTCTTATGCGAGATACTCTCTGCAACTTAAGTGGATTTCCCTTGAGCGTCATAAATAGAAGCAAGCTTCAATAAAAAAGATCATTCGTGAAAACCTCCCTAACTGAGCAGATAGCTTGCGACCGTTTTTCTGTGGTTAATTTCTGTGTTTTTTCTGTGGTTAATAGTTTCATATTTCTGAAGCAAGGAACACCGGAAAAATAGACGAATATAAAAAAGCAAATTGATTTAAAAAATGATAATAAAAATACCGTTTCATTAAACTGCATTCCAGTTGACTTGTTCTTAATTACGTAGCTTTGAATAATGTCATTGCAGCTGTTCAGAAATTTCTAAAATAGGTAAATAAATTTTCTTAATAGGAAAAAATCAAATCCTCTTTTCCTAAATGCTTTTCAGAAAAATAAATTGCCTTTATGAATAGTATCGTTTTTATATTACTGATATATATAAGCAATGACTTCGTAAAAGAAGCTTACCAAAAAACTACGAATCAATATTAGAAAATATTGCCAAATCTAGCCATCATGTCGAACGGACAAAAATTTAATTTTGGGGAATTTAAATATGATACTCAGAGTTTAGAACCTAAAAGTTACAAAAATGAAAGTAACCTACTAAACATCTAAAAGCTTAGACTGTATTGCATTTTTCAATTACAAAAGGCACGCGGTAGGGAATGAGAAGAAAATCGTTTTTCATATTTGATTTCTCGTAATCGTTGCTCATGGAAAAGTTATTTCAGATTTTTTGTTTCTGACGTCATGGATATCTACACTACAAAACTATGTAATTTAATACTACATTTATTAAAAGTTCATAGTTCACTTTTAAAACTGAACCGAGGGATTTCCTTTTATTTTGAGATCGTTAAGTTTAATTCTACCAGGTTCAATTCAATTAAATTATAGAAATAAAACTAACTAAATAAATAAATGAAAAACTCGTAAAATCATGAATGAATAAAATCAAACACATAATTTATTATCTTCTTTAATGAGAACGAAAGATTAAATAATTCTCATTATAAAGATTAATTCACTATTATATCATGAATACTGAAAGTGCGAAACGTCCTTGATAAATTTATAAAGATAACGGTTTATACTGTATCTTCAACGATGCAATTTAATTTCATCATTTAGGCTACAGTTTAAAACTAGACTGCAGAGTTTTGACCATAGTGACCAATATCAGTAGCGAGTTAAATAAAAGCTTCTTAAAACACGGCTAGTTTTGAAAAAAATCTGAAA